AACTTATTATTAATAGACCATAGGATGTTTGTTCTGGGTTGGACATAGGATTCCTAGGCCTATTGGAAACCCATCCATTATTTCTCCTTAGGGTCTCTACTATAACCTATAAATAAACACACTCCATGGTTCTCTCAGTCATAACATTTAGCTCCACATTTAGAAGAGGCAGAGAGAGAAAGTAAGGAGAGAATTTAGAGGATTGTAGCCCACATTGCATTCGAATTTTGGCATGGAAGGACATACGGTAGAAGATCATGAAGGTAATCAAGCCAATTTTTTGTTCTGCATCAGTCTTTGTTCGTGTTGTTCACGCCTCAAGAGGTAAACTCTAATTCTGCCTTATAGGGTTAATAGATGAGTAAAATTTTTGTAATCAATTATACACGTCATCAATAGATCTTGGGACTATCGTTATAACAAGTGGTATCAGAGCCTTCGTTGATACTACGTATATATTGAATAAAGCCAAGTCGTCCAAGTAAAACGATTAGATTTATGCCATGGATGATGGGTAGAATGTTAAATTGTGCTAATTTCCATTTTGCAATTTTCTTATCCCGCTATTATGGTCACATTTTTTTATTATCGCTTCATATAATTGGATCCCACGATGGTTTGTTCATTGTTAATATTATTGGAAGGATTCACACGATGGTTTATTCATGTTGTAATATTGATGGTATTATGTGAACTCCTTCGTGGAGGCATAGGGTCATGCATTATTGTTGTTATTTTTTTATGAGATTTCCTGTGATGAGATTGCATAAGCTTCTCCTAGCCTATCCCCAACAACTCAGTGTAGCATAACATGGAGGTGGATGGATTCATCAAGGATTGCTATAGACTACTTATTGCATTGAAACCAAAACACATGACCATAATAGTTGTGACTCTTTATTTAAGCAGCTTTCTAATAGTTAGGACTCTTTGTTTAAATAGTTTCCTAAAAGTTGTGACTCTTTGTTTAAGCAATTTCCTTATAGTTGGGTCTCTTTGTTTAAGCAATTTTATTATTCAGGTTGATCTATATTTTATTCATGTTTTGATTGTATGGGTAGCTAATTATATGACAGGTACCCTAACATGTGGATAACATGGATAATTGACAAGCTTAGATTATTTGTTATGGCTTAGTATCTAATTTATATTGATTAAAATAAGGATGTTTAAAGTATGTATGTAATTAGAAAAATAAAATAAAATTCTCAATTTCTGTATGGGTAGCTATGGAAATTTGATATTTTATATATTGCACGCATATATACTACATATAAAGATGGGGTAGCTCTACAATTTTATAAATATGTCAAAAATTCTTGTATTTTATCATGATAAAAATTATATTTTTTATAACACTCACAAAGTATAAAATAACTAAGTGGGAGAGGGAATTTATTTTGTATAAATCCCACAGTCTCCTTTACTAGTTTGTAAGTGATGTAATTAATTGTGCGTGTTGGATTTGGTGCCTTCCTCTCTATCAGATGAAATTAATTTCAAAATCATCGCTACAAACTTTCTAAAATGATAATTTTGGATAATTGCTAGAATGGGCTCACTTCTACATCTGAAGGGGCTTATTATGAAACAATTGACACAAAATTAAGTAATACTACACACTTAACTATAAATAGTAGTACCCTTTCAATCTGAGTCACTACTTTTATTTACAGGACTAAAGTTAAGCTTGCTATTTAATTTTTGTTATCATGCTATAGTGGCTAGAGCGTAAAGTAAACAGAAAATGATCTGTCTGGACAAATAATGGATAATAGATGTCCTCCCTATCGAAGCATGCTATTCACGGTGATTCAAGTTGTTGGCGAATTCATTTAGAAATTGGTAGAAGAACCAAATTTAAATTTGAATTTGATGTTTTATTTTGCCCATCATAATTTTAAATTTTTTGATTTTCAACTTTTAAAATGTGTTCATTCAATCCTCTTTCTGTCATACTTAAAAAATACAAACTAACTGGACCAAACTATATAGACTGGAAAGGAAACTTGAGTATTGTGTTGACTGTAGACAAGTACAAGTTTGTGCTCAATAATCTTTGTCTTGATGAACCCGGTGAGGGGGCAACCGAACAGGAAGTCCAAGCTCATCGGAGGTGAAAAAAGGCTGATAAGATGGCGCAGGGTTACATTTTGGCATCTATGTCAAGTGTGCTACAAAATTAGCATAAGCTCATGCACACCGCCTATGAAATGATTAAGAACCTCAAAACAAATATTTGGGGATCAAGGTAATGTTGCTAGAAAAGTTGTGATGAAAGATATAATGAACACAAGAAAGCCTTAGGGAGAACCAATAAGGGAACATGTTCTAAAGATGATGGGTCTTGTTAATAAGCTAGAGATCCTAGGAGCTAAGATTAATGGGGAAACCCAAGTTAATTTAATCCTCTAGTCTCTGCCAGAGTCCTTTAAGCAGTTTCACCTTAATTACAATATAAATAAATGTTCTTATTCTCTACCAGAACTCCTTAAGGAACTCCAAGTAGCTGAAGGCCTCTTTCAACAGTAACCTCATGTTTATGCAACTGAGAAAGGTTAAGTTTCTATGTTAAAAGGAAAAAAAATAAAAAATTGAAAATGCTCAAAAGCAGGTTGTTGGCCCTCAGGGAGTAATGAAAAAGCCTAAGGGCAAGTGTTTTCATTACAAGTAGTCAAGATACTAGAAGAAGCAATGTTCGGTCTTCCTTAACAATGTGAAAAATCTAGGTAAATCTTATTTACTAGTAATTGTGACATTGAGGATGTCAATTTTATTGAATTACTTGAGAAAGATTAATTTAACATGTCATCTTTTTAAAATTCTTTACAAGCTTGCCTAGTTGACTCTTATGATGATAAAGTTTGGGGAATCAAAATGTCATGCCATTGAAATTAGATGGTCAAGCATTCAAGTTTGAATTGAAGCCTGATTGACCATTAGATTTATTCTAATTGTATAATTGTTGTTAGGTTTTAGTTTATTTTTTATTTATGCTTTTCTATTTGAGTTGTTATTTTATAGGTTTTGTAGTTGTTGCGGCATCAAGTATTCCTGCCCATTTATTTTTGCTCATTATTCTTAGTGAACATTAAGGTATTTATTTTTACATTGAGGACAATGTTGAATTTAGGTTGAGGATATGAGTGTGTTTTGCGTTGTGACAATTTTATTTATTTTATTTTTTTGAATATATTTTTTTCCTGTTATAGGTAAAAAAAATTAAGTTTTTTTTTAATTGCCTTGAACCATGTTCTTATTACTTCACTAGAATTGGGTTAGTTTGGAAAGCCCAAGTTAGTAACTTGTCCAATATGCTTGAGAACCTATTGATCTATCATTATGAAATACCACAAGTTCTCCCCTTAATTGGTGTTCACAAGTAAAATAACAAGTAAAAAATTAAACAAATGTAAAATAGGCGACTTCGTGCTAGGTTTGTAAATTTACTACTCCTGAGTAAATCTAGTCAAGAGTAAATCTCACCGATTCCTCTCATATGTACTTAAAATATATTTTCTCCCTTTTTTTTCACAGACGCTAACCTAATGAAAACATACAAATATAGTACAAAATCAAGTTACCAACATATGATTATCATATTTGCTATAAATGTCAACCCAATGACAACATATAACAATCATGACATAAAATCATAGTATAATATGAAAGTATGAATACACATCAATTAGCCAAATCATGCAAGTAAAATAAGTAAGAAACAAACAAGGCATATAACTCAAAGTCAAATATGATTAGTGACTTGATCCAAAATGTGTACATCCAAGTGCAGGCGATCAAGATGTAGTAATAATCTGGTTAAGTCCGGAGTCGAATCCACAGGGAACTATTATTGGTGTTTCGAAGTAAGTAGTGAAAGAGACCAAGTGATTGGAACCCTTGAGAATTGAAGTTATGGTATTTCCTGGATAGAATATAAGATTCTTTCCAAGGGGTTTCTCTAGACAAAATACAATAAATTATCAAATTTAACAGTCACCCTTTTGCTTGAGGATCTGAACATGTAGTTAATCATCCAGTTTATTATACTTGTGCTTGGACACTTAATTAACCCCTGTGTCAACATGAAGCTAATTAGAAGAGAAGAATGGAGTATTAGAATTAAGAGCATGGTTCCAATTTCTTTGTAGAGGTTTACAAGAATTGTCTGTGGTGAGACTCAACCCGTCCACAAACAAGCGTCTCTACAAGGCATCCAACCATTGCATTAGTATTCCATTCTTTATATGAAGCACAATAATGGTGAAGACTGAAATGTAGTCATGAAGATCTGACCGGTGTACTTGCCTAGAACCAATGGGTCTTTCTATGCAAGAGTCATCTATATCACAGAAAGTACTCATGGTTATACAAAGTACCTTAGCTTTGCTAGATGTATTCAATATAAAACATTAAGCATAAATGAAATGCAAAAATATAACTTCCGAATGATTTATACATGTCCATCACCTCTTAATAAAGAGTGAATGAGAAACTACTCATTCTTCATGTGTAAAAACCAGGTAAAAATTTGAACTTTTTCGAAAAAAAGGGCAAAAAGGTCAATTGTCACTATAATGTGGGGTTGAAATCGATATTTTTCTAGAGCTCGGATGATGCAACAAACTTCACCATTGGAATTGTATCGCAAAATCGAGCTGCCATGTCAATTTTCATCAAATTTTAAGATAGTCAAATTTTGCATATTTTACGAGACAATTGGGAGACGAATGACCTCACAAATGTCTCCAAAAATAGAATTTATAAAATTTTCTTATAATTAGATAAAATTTCAAATAAAATTAACTTGAATTGAAATCAGGAATTAATTAAGTCGTTTCGGGTTAAAAACGGACCCGAAAGTAATAAACGTGCAGGACAATGTGGACCGCACCATTAAAGGGTATAAATAGGGGCTAAATATGGATACTGGCTAGCAATCTCGGCAAATACCCCCCAAACCTCCTGACATTACAAAAAATTTTGCCTCTCTGTTCAAGAAACCTTCAAATATGGAAAATTCTGTAATGATTCCTAATACTTCAGAGATTATTTCCTTGACAAGTGTTGATCCTTTGGGATGTAATAACTCCAATCCTATGCCTCTTACAACTCAATCGAATAGAAACAAGCCGACTGTTCAGATTCTTCCTTCGACTGTGCCATCTTCGTCTGAGTCAGGAATTCAGGTTCCTTTTGATTCCTTAATTGTTCAAAATACTCAAGGTATTAATCTTCAAGCTAGATCCTCTTTGAACTCCCAATCCATTTTGAAATCTCAAGATCCTTCGAGGGATCGAACTTCTCCAAATATTCAGATCTCTGTTCCTGACGCAGAAATTCTGATTCCAGCTATCATTTTGAATGTTTAGAATCCTTCTGGTAATCCTATTCCTTCTTCTACAATTCTATTTGGATCTTTGAATTCTGTAAATCCTCCTAAGCCTGCAAAGAGAGTTGTCTTTAATAAAGGAGAACTTGGGATGTATTGGTCCCTTGTTGAGACTATGGAGTTGTCGAAAAGTTTTAGTCAGACACTTATCGGTAAATGTGCTTATGGTAAGCCTTCACTAGGTGTGGTGAAAGAATTTATTAATTCTAGGTGGCTATTAAAAGGGGAATTCTCTGTAGGAGTGTTAGACCTGAGGCATGTTTTGATCAGATTTTCGCTTTATGAGGATTATGTCAAAGTATGGCTGAAGGATACCACCTACATTGAGGGCTATCTTTTAAGGTTCTTCAAGTGGTTCCCAGAGTTTTATCCTGGGATTGAACCACCTGTTGTGCCTGTATGGGTGTCTTTACCTGGCTTGCCAATTCATTTATTCAATAATGAAAGTCTGAGAGATATTTTGAGTCCAATTGGCAGAATTCTGGTGATAGATAATGCCACTTTGAATCTTTCTAGGCCTGGTGTGGCCAGGGCCTGTGTTGAAATGAATCTTCTAGTTAGTAATCCTAAGAGATTCTGGCTAGATATGAGGGGAGTGAGTGGCAGATGGCAGAGGATAGTGTATGAGAAAGATTATAAATACTGTCCTGCTTGCCTTAAGCAGGGGCATAATGAAGAATTGTGTAGACGAAAGAAGAAAGTGAAAGGTGATACTTCTGAAAAGAAGCAGCAATCTGGGAATGATTTTAATCACGATGAGGAAAGGAGGAGGAAAAAAGGGAAAGCAATTGCTGTAGATGGCACAAGTGTGCAGCCCAGAAAGGAATATAGACAGAAAACTATGCTTCCAACTACTGTTGTGGGAAATAGTTTTGCTGTGCTTAATGAGGAGGTTGTTATGGAGGATCTGGATAAAAGTAGGGATATATCTATATTGGGGCAACCAGGGTTATCTGATAAGGCTACTGAGATTGGAGGCTCTACTTCTACTATGGAGATGGTTAATGAACTAGCTCCTAAGGATATGAATAATGGTGTTGACCTTGTTAGTAATGTGGAGATGAATAGAGAAGTTCAACATGGGGATAATGTTAGAGATGATGGAGGAAATCTTGGAAATCCTCATGTGAATTTTGAATGTGGAAATCAAGGAGTTGATGGTCCTGTTACTGCTAATATCAGAATAGAGGAGATTCCAAAAGATATCAGTTTAGAAGAGAACCATGCTTCTATTCATAGGGAGCAATTACCTATGACTACAGCTTATGAGGGGGCTCATTTGGAGGTTTTTTCCTTTTCCTCTACAGTAAATGTGGTAGATAATGACAAAGACATTGGAGGAATACTGGGAACTGGTGTGGAAAATATAATTCCTGTTAGTGATGGTATGAATGATGATAATATTGTTACTAATAATAATGAGGAGATCCTTGGAGAATGTAGAACTCTTTATGCTCAATCCTTGAGATCCTCATTCTTAGTGGAACATGATTTTACTGTCAGAAAAGGAACTCAAAAATTGTTAGATGATCAGAGTGGTTTGGTCAGAGTGAGAGATCCTCCAGATAAGGGTTATTATTCTGATCAAGCCAGCTCTAGAACTCAGAGAGTTGTAAATGTTGATTCTGATAAATCTGGGAGTTCCTTTGATGATGATGATGATGATGATGATGATAATGGACTTAGTTCCAGTGATGTTCCTTCTTCCATATACTTATGATTAATCTTTTATCATGGAATATGAGAGGAGCAGGTAAAGATGCTAAGAGGAGGAGATTAAAGAAGCTTATTAAATTGCAGGATGTATGTCTAGTTGCACTTCAAGAGCCTAAATTGTTGGTTTCCAAATTGATTCCTTTTGCTAGGAGTATTGGTCTAGAACACTTTTGTTCCAATGCTCTAGCAGAAAGAAATATTTGGATTTTATGGGATGAGAGAATCAGATTAAGGGTCTTATTTGAACATGCCCAAGTATTAACTGTGGAAATAACATTTATGACCTCAGTTGTATTCTGGATTTCTATTGTATATGCCAGTTGTGATCTGTTTGCAAGAAGGATCTTATAGGATCACTTGTTGAATATTGATATCCTTTCTGATGTTCCTTGGATGGTGGTGGGTGACTTCAACACAATTTTATCCTCTGCTGAAAGATTGGGGGGAGCTTCTCCTTCTCAGTTATCTATGGAGGATTTTGGTGATTTTTTGAATCATAGGGGTCTATTGGATGCTGGTTTTATGGGGAACAAATTTACATGGTGTGATAATAGAAAAGGAGGTATCAGGATGAAGCAGAGGTTGGATAGAGCCCTAATTAATCCTCTCTAGAATCTGAATTTTGACAGTCTGGAAGTGGTTCACTTGGCAAGAGGTGCTTCTGATCATAGTCCTTTATTATTGAAAATTATGGATGCTCCTCTTCAGAAGAGAATCTCCTACTTTAGATTTCAAGATATATGGTGTGATCATGAGGGTTTTCTGGCTATGATAGCAGCTAACTGGTGTGGACAGTATTCAGATAATCCAATGTCAAATTTGTTTATTAAGATGAAATATTTGAAAGCTCATATAAAGATGTGGAACAAAGAGGTGTTTGGTAATCTCTTTGAGAAGTTGAGAGATTATGAATAGAAGATAAGTTTGGTTGAACAAGATTTAGACCAACACTTTTATGATCCAAAAGCTATGGAGTTAACAGCCATGCAAAGTGAGATGGATGATTGGTTAAGAAGAGAGGAAATTTACTGGAAACAAAAATCAAATGTAAAATGGGCTATTCAGGGGGAAAGGAATACCAGATTCTATCACTCTATTGCTAAAAGTAGAGTTGTCAGGAATAAAGTCTCAAGAATCAAGAATAATGAAGGGATCTGGGTGTATGGAGACAAGCAGGTAGCTGAGGTGGCTGAGGAATTTTATGTTGAACTCTATAAGTCAGAGAATCATACAATCAATGAACAACTACTTGATGTCATTCCTAAGACTATAAGTTAAGAGGATAATGAGAAGCTAACTGCTGAGGTTACTTTGGAGGAATTGAAAGATGTGGTATTTTCAATGGCTACTGAGAGTGCTCCGGGGCCAGATGGTATGTCTGGTAAGTTTTTTCAGTTTGCCTGGGATATAATTAAAGTAGATGTGGGTAGAGCTATAAACTTTCTGCTTAAATGAGGCTTAATTCCCAAATCTGTGAACTCTACTTTGTTAGTGTTGATTCCTAAGAAGGTGGATCCTACTTCCTTTTCTGATTTCAGACCCATAAGCTTATGTAACTTTTTATATAAGATTTTTACAAAGCTGGTTAACATGAGACTAGTTTCCCTCCTTCCTGGTTTAATCTCTGAAGAACAACATGGTTTTGTTAAAGGGAGAGGGATTGGGGATTGTGTAGCACTGGGACAGCTTCTTGTTGGTGAATTAGACAGGAAGGTTGAGGGTGGAAACATGGTTATGAAGCTGGATATGATGAAAGCATATGACAGGATGGAATGGGATTTTTTGTTGAAAGTACTGGCTAGATTTGGCTTTTCTGATTTGTTCACTCAGATTATTTTGAATTGCTTGAATAGTCAGTTTTTTACTATATGCTTAAATGGACAAAGATATGGTTATTTTGCTAATTCAAGGGGTTTAAGGCAGGGAGATCCTCTCTCTCCCACTTTATTCATCCTGGCTGAAGAGGTGCTGAGTAGAGGTTTGAGGAGAATTTATAGTCAAAATTTGGTAAAACATTTTCATATTGGGAGAGGAACAACAGTTGTCAGTCACTTACTGTTTGCTGATGATACCCTGGTCTTCTTAAGGGGTACCAAATATTCTATTTTGAATGTAATGAATTTTATTGCCCTTTATGAATCAAGCTCTGGTCAGAAGGTTAACAAGCTGAAAAGTGCAGTGTATTGTTCTAAGCTGATTTCTGTAACCAGAAGGAATAGGCTGGCTTCTGTAATGGGGATTCCTTTTAAGGACTATCCTTTTACTTATTTGGGATGTCCCATTATCAGAGGAAGGGTTAAGAAATGCTATTTTGAAGAGGTGGTAGAAAGCTTTAGAAAAAGAATTGAAGGTTGGTATGCCAGATTGTTATCTGGTATGGGANTGAGGCTTAATTCCCAAATCTGTGAACTCTACTTTGTTAGTGTTGATTCCTAAGAAGGTGGATCCTACTTCCTTTTCTGATTTCAGACCCATAAGCTTATGTAACTTTTTATATAAGATTTTTACAAAGCTGGTTAACATGAGACTAGTTTCCCTCCTTCCTGGTTTAATCTCTGAAGAACAACATGGTTTTGTTAAAGGGAGAGGGATTGGGGATTGTGTAGCACTGGGACAGCTTCTTGTTGGTGAATTAGACAGGAAGGTTGAGGGTGGAAACATTGTTATGAAGCTGGATATGATGAAAGCATATGACAGGATGGAATGGGATTTTTTGTTGAAAGTACTGGCTAGATTTGGCTTTTCTGATTTGTTCACTCAGATTATTTTGAATTGCTTGAATAGTCAGTTTTTTACTATATGCTTAAATGGACAAAGATATGGTTATTTTGCTAATTCAAGGGGTTTAAGGCAGGGAGATCCTCTCTCTCCCACTTTATTCATCCTGGCTGAAGAGGTGCTGAGTAGAGGTTTGAGGAGAATTTATAGTCAAAATTTGGTAAAACATTTTCATATTGGGAGAGGAACAACAGTTGTCAGTCACTTACTGTTTGCTGATGATACCCTGGTCTTCTTAAGGGGTACCAAATATTCTATTTTGAATGTAATGAATTTTATTGCCCTTTATGAATCAAGCTCTGGTCAGAAGGTTAACAAGCTGAAAAGTGCAGTGTATTGTTCTAAGCTGATTTCTGTAACCAGAAGGAATAGGCTGGCTTCTGTAATGGGGATTCCTTTTAAGGACTATCCTTTTACTTATTTGGGATGTCCCATTATCAGAGGAAGGGTTAAGAAATGCTATTTTGAAGAGGTGGTAGAAAGCTT